GGCCTTGGGAGAATCCGACATTATTCTTTCCGACAGGTCGAGGTATTTGATGCAATTAAATTTGAGCTTATTTTCTTAAGACACACACTTCTGGATTACTTGAAAATGTGTGATAAATCTGAGGAAAATAAGTGAGTACAGTTTGTCAAACGATTCACTGACAATGTAAATTGCGAATTTTTTACAGGAAGAGGGAAAGAATCTTTATTTTTGGAACATACGGTAAAACTGAGCCAACCTTCATATCTTTATTACCAGCTGTTCCAGAAGTGAAGAAAGCTGAAGCAGAGTTGAAAATCCCTTACGGATTTAGCAGCTGCGTAGTTGCTTGTGATGGTAAGTTACAAGTTCATCACCGTCTTGTGTGCCAACACCGCACAAGTCCTACTCTGATCTTCCCTTCATTTTAGAATATATCTATGTGATTGGAGGCGTATCAAAGAAAATGCGCATTTGTTCCCGTGTTTTAAAGGTAAATCCCTGCAATGGAGAGGTAAAGAAGACAAAGTCAATGGCTCAGAGAAGATTTTTCGCTTCTGCAATTGCTGTCAAACATGAAATACTTGTTTTTGGAGGATATGACAATGGTAAAGCTTTAACCTCCTGTGAGAAATATTCTCCATTTGATGACAAGTGAGTTTAGGAATTTTCCGCCATGATAAGTTATTCTAAATATCATCGATGAATTGATTGATATACCTTAGGTGTTTGGGATTACAGCTTCTGATTCCAGCTCTCATGCACTAATTGCAGATTTCTACAAGCGTGAATAGCCATGTGTTTTGGATCTCATCATTTCCAACTGGATGTGCTTATTTTTTGCTTTCCAGTCTCGCATTTCTTCTGTGATTTCAACAGAATATTTGCTCCATAGGTGTGAGAATCAATAAGAAATTGCAAAGCTCTATGATTTGACTAGGTGACCACACGTAGTTGGAATTGAATGGAGACCATCATTATAGTTATTTGAGAAGGCAGAACGTTGCGTTGGAGTGGAAAATAACGGATCATCCAAATTCCTCACTAACATAATACTAATTCCATGGTGATATTAGTATTGTAATATCACTGTTATTACGACTTGTCCATATTTATTGGCACATGTGTTTTGTGAATTTCGTGGTCATTGAGGCGAATTTGTATTTCGCAGATGGGAAAGACTTCCCGATATGCCAACAGCAAGACAAGGAGTTGGAGCAGTCAACGTTCCGGATCTTGGAGTTTTAGTTCTTGGTGGTGCAGGAGCAGATGATAAAGATCTGAATATCGTCGAATTGTTTCAAAGTTCCGCTGGAAATTCAACTTGGTGCTCATTCACTCCAATGTTGACGCCAAGGAGTAGTCCTGCTGTAGAATTCTTTCAAGGTTGTGTTTACGTTGCTGGTTCCATTTTAACACGCTCACATACAGCAGAATTTCTTTCCATAACTAATGGTCGACAAGGTCAGTGGACACTGATTTCGCAATCACCTTCAATAGATGACGATTTATCTTCAATGCTGGCAGTCAGTGGCCATCTCTACGTCGTTGGTAGGTATTTGTTTATTCCTATGTTGTTCTCACAATTCAGCACCACCTCCCTCAAAGTTATTTCTTAAAACAGATGGTGGGGGCAATGTTTATGAACTGGAAACACCACATGAAGAAAACGTGAGTGCAATCACACCTCATTCTATGCTAAACTGAGAATCAATAACTGTTGAGATGCGTTCATGTTGTAGGATGGGAATCAAAATGACCACAGTTGGAGACTTCGATTTCAAGTCAAAAGAGGAAGCCGTCTACGTCTTTTAAGGGTCCTTGTGAACGCTTAATCCCTCAAAAATGACATTACTTCTCACTTAAGATGAATAATAATTTAATTCATTCCATTTTCTTCTTCGAATCACAGAATCTATTGTTTCGCCGTTTGTTGCTTTAAGTACAATGCTCATTATTTCAAATAAAATCTCAATTTTCTAATCTACTCATATACTTGTGATGCTACCATTTCGTTTAAAATTAATAAGAGAGAATAGGTTTTATGGGCACTTCAGAGGCCCATGGTCAATAGTTGACCTCTATCGATTGTTCATGTATTTGAATGCACTCTCGTCATCATGGTTTAATGAGACAATTCCTTGCCTATTCAGCCTGCTCTACTTTATAGTTTTAAGTAGCATGTTGCTGACATTTGCATTTATCTTGAATTTGTTCTTCTTTAAAGCCACGTTGGCACATTATTAGTGTGTCTCAACCATCTACTGGTTGTTAAACAGGCAAGCAAGGAAGGCAAAGAAGTCACCTTCTAATTTGATTGCTGTACTGAATCGGTATTACACCCTCACTCTCTCCTTCTCTCTATCGCCTCTCTCTCTCTCTTGCACAATGTACTAACCACAGCATTTCTTGCAAAATAGGCTGTTTGGATGAGTATCGCAAAGCTTTTCCAAGGAATCTGTATCGATCAACATCTATGTGAATGCAAAATAGTACACGATTGTTCAATCGTTCAAAAATATACACTTTGATCTGTATACCACCAATGACTCGTAACCAATCCGTGCAAATTAAGGCTTTCAATGCTCAAATTTTGCTTTCATATTCTTCATTTAAACGTACCAGTGATAGAAAATTACCTCTTTGAGCAGCTCATGTCATTCATGCTTAATGAATTTATTTATTTCGAAACTGATGTACTTGGTAATTAATGAATAAGATTTGGCGTTCATTTACTGATTACCATTGAAATGGTCTACTTCACAATTGCTTTTGAAAAAATGGAGACTTCAATATCGAGAACCATAGAATACTTTGTTCTCTCGAGTCTACTATGATTATTTGCTTCTGTTTTGTATTTGAAAGTGTAAAACAGGAGTGTGCTGTCACAGTTATAATCTGGGGTGGGAGTACCAGATCGATCACTGTGTTCGTGCGTGAGCTTGTTGTAGATGCGACACAAATTGGCCTCCATTAAATATTGACACACTCTCTCACACACACAAGATCCTCCAATATGAAAGTGCTCTCGAAAACGCCCTTATTGCACGAGATTGCTTCGAGAATACTCACTTGCTCATTAAGCAATTACCAGCACGCCTCACTTTCCAAACTGCCCTAATGCACATACAATTTCTTTGTTCAGTCCTCTCTCAATTTTAAAATTCATGTTCTTAGTTCATAGACAGATTTTCACGTAGTTGGGGCTCATTCACTTCAGATTGCCACCTAGGTTCTATCCTTCAATGGGATTGCTCAAAGGCTATGTGTACGTTGCAATTTCCATGGCTAATACAGAACTACAGACTACAGAACTTCTTTCCTTCATTGACAGTCTATCAGTTCAGTGGACTTTGGTTTCGATGTACGTTCCGATTGATGACCAATCAGTATATTTCTTCGTTGTCCTGACGAGCCGTTAAATCCTGCCCAAACACAATTCTTTAAATAACTAAATCGCAAAAAATATTTACGAAGTGTGTTCTCCTTATGAGTAAAGTGTGGACACAGTTGCATCCCATTTAGTACCTCTCTTCAAATCTACAACTTTTGATATGAATACCTGTTATAGAATGGAAAGCAAAATGTTAACGGTTGGTGACTTTGATTACAAGTGCAAAATGGGCACGATCTTCGAATTCTAAAAGATATTATGAAAGATTAATTCCTCATCTTTATACAAAAAAGCCATTTACAGCAAAAGAGTAATTTTAATTATTTCAATTTGTGCCACTAGTTCACATGATTCGATTTCACATCCAATTGTTATCTTTTCTATTTTTTTTACTTTTAATTCCTACCCAACACTGGACATGCTTCCACTTCATTTCATAATTCTTTTTGACCAAAGATTAGAAATTATGGATTCGTGGATTTACGTTGCCCCATTAGCTATTATTCCTAACTCAAAACCACTTGCCTAGTTTATCAAATTGATTTGAGTTGCCAAGCCACATTCGTTTCTATGACCTTTGCTTCGTCAGACCAGGGGACAAATGATCGCATCATAATTGACAAAGATTTGTAGTTGATGACGTATTGACATTTTAACCCCGTTCCTAGTCGACTTGATATTAAATTCGCAAAATCGGACCATCTTACTCATACCCAATCCTGAGGCGACTTAATCGTGCTTTAGAAAATTTGCTATGTCTTCAACTGCGCCAAATTTTAACGCCATCGTTAACTTCAAGTCAATGTTGTTGACATGGTGATAGGCCGAATTTCCATAAATTCGATGAGGTGAATATTCTCCTAAGTAGGTGAAACAACTTAATTGACTCGAAATGAAGTGGAACAGATATTGGTCAAATGAGTTTGCGGTGACTAAAGGACAAATCAAATCAAATACAGCAAAACGTAAAGTTAGAATTATAGAATGAAGAATACAAAATAATAACTAACTGTCAGATGTTACCAACACTCAGACACAATTCTGTCACACTTTATCTCATGTCTGTTTTTCCACTTTACGCACCAATCCGATGTGCCATAATTCTCCTGCCATTGTGTCATTATACATCACTGTCTACAACCCTATGGTTAACTTATTTACAAGAGTAACACTCATTCACACTCGCAGATCGTTTGTCTCTATCTTGTCCTTCACGTTCTTCTTCTTCTTGTTACTTCTTTCAAATGTGTCAGGAAGTTAAAGAAAACACGAAATCCATAGATTAGGTCTAGGAGAATCAGTTGTGGTACAGCTTCAATCTCTCGGTATACAATATGTCGTTAATATGAAGATTTCAGAAGATTCTTTTCCACCTATTTGCTAACAAAATAACCTACTGGTTTTGAGTATTTCATCAAACCACTGGTATTCATCGATCATTCTTGAAACCCAATATTATTTCCTCACATTACTGGAAGTCAACTTTCTCGCCGGTGATAGGAGAATGGATTTACGTCTTCTAAAAGTTAATTTGAACTCATAATCCCTAACATATAACACCACGTGTCGTTAATGTTAAATAAACTTTCATTTCTTATGTCATTGGGTGCTCGATAGACTTACCTCCATGTGGTGCACATTGGACAACGTATCTTCGTACGGCAAAAAGTCCCTCACTCGGCAATCGATTAGACCTCGATTTATTATGATTAGATTGAAACAAGGCTATAAGAGAAATCGACCTCGTCAGGGCGAATCACAACGTCTTCAGATCCTCCAGTGGAGTGCTGGAGGGATGTCACAGGACCAAAAGATCCAAGTCCAGAAAATCCTACAAACCTATGATGAGAATATTTTAACAATTATGGAAGCAAACCTTTCGGATGACAAACTGAAGTACTACCAATTCCCAGGTTACACCCTGTACTTCTACCTAAATACCGGCAAGCTGCAAGTGGAATTCTGACTGGAGTTAAAAAAGGCCTCACCTCACATTACGATCTAATCAAGAGTATGGGGGCTCGACACAAGACAAATGTGAAATAATTAAGAGTATGAGCTCGACACAAGACAAATGTGAAATAATCAGGAGTATGGGCTCGACACAAGACAAATGTGAAATAATCAGATTAATGATTTGGGAATGTCAAAACCACTTCTAGATATTTGCAGTCTATAATCCACCTAGAAATGCCAAAACCACTTCAAGATATATGCAGTCTATAATATCCCAGAATTGTCCCAACTTTGACTTTCTGAACATCTCACTAACCAGAATTGTCCCAACTTTGACTTTCTGAACAACTCACACATGTCAAAACCGCTTCAAGATATATGCAGTCTATAATCCTCCCCGTCCCAACTTTGACTTTCTGAACATCTCACACAAAACTTCAAGACACTTTGACTTTCTGAACATCTCACACAAAACCATAGTATTAATTCTGAACATCTTACACAAAACTATAGTATTAGGAGACTTAATCTATAATCCACCTCAGAATTGTCCCAACTTTGACTTTCTTGTAATCCACCCCAGAATTGTCCCAACTTTGACTATCTGAACCCCACCCCAGAATTGTCCAAACTTTGACTTCCTGAACATCTCATCCCAGAATTGTCCCAACTTTGACTTTCTGAACATCTCACTAACCAGAATTGTCCCAACTTTGACTTTCTGAACAACTCACACATGTCAAAAACACTTCAAGATATATGCAGTCTATAATCCCCCAGAATTGTCCCAACTATGACTTTCTGAACATCTCACACAAAACTGTAGTATAAGAATTCTTCAAAGCCCATTCCACCAGACGGGGGTACAAGGATACAAACATAGCTGGAAAGGAAATTGAAGACATACTAAAGAGCAAACCACTGGAACTTATTTACGGCAATGAGGATCCGGCACTACAATGGAACCAGAAACACTTCTGACTTGCTCCTGGCTTCAAGCAACATTTGCGAGCATACACGCCGAAAAATAATTGACGAAGGTGCCAACTAAGCTACCATAGAACTTCAAAAATGCTGACTGGCCTAGATTCACAAACCTTTTTGACAATGAACTTCGCACAAGTACCCTCAACTTCAACCAACACCCTGGCAAAATTTGCAATGATATCACGAATATCATGACCAGATGTGCAAAGTAAACAATTCCCCTAGGCAAGATTACGCACTATCGAGTGTTTTGGTCTAAACGCTTTGAGGAACAGAAAAGAAAGCGGGTCGCCATTCGCAACACTCCTGATCAGACTGGAAGAACGGAAGATGTACAAGCCTGGAGACGACAATCAGCTGTTCTAAGACAAGCTTTCCTACAAACTAAACAGACTTCCTTTGACAAGTTCATGTCGAATATCAACAATCAGATCGATATACAACGCACTTTCGAATTCTTGGGTAGCCTCAAAAACAACAGAGAAAGACCCAAGTAAGAACCTATACAAATAAATAGCAAATTGCTTTCCACCGACTCCGATATAGCTAACTGCTTTGCGAGGTTCTATTTCCACAAGCAAAAAAAGCCCATTTGTCAGAAAATCTTCAGGAGATTTTAAGATGCAAGTAAGACAGTTTCTTGAAATTAAGAAAGCCAGCGCAACATCAAATAATGTACTTACTGAACCATTCAAACCTTGCGAACTTAATGCTGGGAAAAAGCGGCTTAAGTGCAAAAAGTCTCCTGGCGAAGAAAGTATTCATCCGGAATTTCTAATTAGAATGGGGCCAACAGCTAGGGAAACCATGCTAAAGCTTTCAACAAAATCTTAGAGACCAGTCCCGTACCTAACCAGTGAAAACTTGCCGTAGTTAAACCAGTACTAAAAACGAGCATAGACATTAGCAACTTTGACAACTATAAGCCTACCTCCCTCACAAGCGTGCTAACTAAACTTATGGAAATAATGGTTAACAGGAGGCTGACCTGGTTCCTTGAGACCAACAATATTCTTAGGAGTGAAGAAGCAGGTTTTAGACCACAAAGATCAACGAACCAACAGGTAGCCACTTTCTCCCAACACATCAAAGATACCCTTGATGCAAGAAATACCCTTACGACTGTTTTCGTCGATTTCAAATCAGCATATGACTTAGTATGGAAAGAGAAGCTAATTCTAAAATTGACAAAGATTGGTATTAAGCATAACATGCTAAATTGGATAAAAGCATTCATTGGACAAAGATCGTGTAAAGTCAGATACGGAAATGCTCTATCAAAATCCAATCTTTTACAAACAGGCCTTCCACAGGGAATGTCTTCAATGTCTTCATCAATGACATAGCCGAATTGGAACAGACAGTCAAGGGCATCAAGTGCTTACTTTACGCAGATGACCTTGTTCTATGGTATTTCGCTAATAAGAAAAACGCTAAGGAGAGGACAGAAAGTGCCCTAAATTGAGCACTTAGACAACTTGGCTTATTCCATTCAAAATAAAAACTCTTTTTGTTTGAAAACTAAGCACATATGTAACAATTGCTAAACGACGATTTAGTAGGTAATGAATTTGTGGATAGTCATTTCTGAAAAAGTAGATTTACAGAGAGATTCAACATATATATTTCA